CTAAGAGTAGAGTCACACTGAAATGCGTTTTCTAAAAGATTTAAATTGATTATCATTAGCGTATTTGGGAGATTCATTCTATTTACTTTTGTTCTACAAAATCTTTCAGCTCAACCAGCTCTCATTCATCGAAAATTCATTTGATTTTGAGGCTTACCTCTGGAATTCGAGTGCATTGTATGCAAATGCTTAAGTAGTACGACTACTTATTCTCAATATATCGATCCTATCATGTTAGCTTTGTCTCCAGCTCAACCCTTTCTAAACTGAAGCTTGGATTAATCCGAGTTTCGGTAGCAGGGAATAAAATGGATGATTCAAATTTATTTATTCGTGTCGTGTAGAATTTATTTTAGATGTTCTTAGCAAATGAACTATAACTTCTTTTTTTCTTATTCTTAAGATAACTATAGTTTTTTATTCATTGCATAACGGAGAGTCAGCACAGCTTTTCTTCTTTTTAATTGTAAATTGAGGCTTTGTTTGTCGAATGGATTGAATAACATTAGCATCGATTACTCAAAGTATACATAATTGATGTCGAGATCGATTTCTTCGTTTGGATTTTGGACTTTTAGCAAACAATCGCAGATCCACAGTTACTAACTTTGGTTTCATCTTATCTCTACTAGGCTTTTTCGAAAAAAATTGATGATTTCCGCTCTTCCTGCTATTTGCATCTTTGCTATACTCCCAGCTTTCTTCTTTTTGCGCGCGTAGAATCATTATTTCAACAAAACAAACTCTTTACAAGTTTTATTGGTTTGGCAGAGATAGGTAAATACAACAAATGTTTTGTAACTTTTCCAAAACAACATTTTGCAATTTGCCTCCTGAAAATGAATTTAACGCAAATTTGGTGGTGCTGAGTTCGATAGCGTAGTAATTATTCACTGCAAATTATTTTAGAATTCAAATTTTGTCTTTTCTCAGTACTGTATTACATGCATAGTAGGTTCTCCGTAAGTTCAATTTTTCTGTTCTGAAAAAAAAATTCTAAAATTGCAAACCAACGAAGTTTAATCGGGGTGTTATCCTAACGATGGAGTTTTGCTTCCGAGTTTCATTTAAACCAAACGGAAACTCGCCGGTGAAATGGATTGAGACGTCCAACAAAGCAGCATTCAGTTTCAATACACCAATGAGGCGAACGAACCGTTTGCAAGTGAGCTGCACCGCGCTGTAGGAAGTCTCGTAAGCACTGAGCATTAACTCCGGTCAAACGAACTATAAGAATTCTGTTTCGTCTGAGAAAATATAAATTCTTCAGATACAGTTGATTCGTTTCTTGTTTCGTTTATTGGAACAAATTTCAGCGACACCAAAAGAGGTTTGGTAATAAAAATACGTAAACTTTATTCTCCTCCATCATAGTTAGAAATACCCGATTTAGCGCATTTCGGTCTGTTCAACATAATTTTGATACATCCTTGCAGATCAGCGCTGACGATGACGTGACCGCCATGACCAGTCTCCCTACTGCCATCTTCCAGCTTTGCCATCATGGACAGAAATACCTAAATATTTGATGTAGAGAAACAGAAAAAACAGCATAGAATAACATTTTTGAAGGATGTTTTTTATTTCTAGTCTTCTTTTTTCTTCCACATCATCCTCTTCAACATAAATGTTTGTCATGTAGTATTTTGTAATGTTCTGCACACGCCAACTATCGAATAACTTGGCTGCCAAATGCGAACTGCAGAATATAGAGTGCAGTAAACCGTTAGATTGTTAAATTGTTAAATTCCACAACTTGTCAGGCTTGAAAAACCTCACAAAGCCCAATTTCTTACGTGGATTTTTAACATAAAAAAGGTAGATCTTGCTCTGCAATATGATTGCTGGTTACAGATGCTGAAATGGAAGGTAATTTATTGATATAAAAGTTTCAAATAACAAAAAAAGCTCCGACATGGTCTTTTATGGCATTCTAAGATTTCAGGATC